GATGTTGATCCCAAAGCTCGTAGACCTGAACTAAGGACTAGACCCTCAGATATCATTATGTGGGAATCAAGTGGGGGATGTTGAATCGTTGTTGATCTGTGTGTGTGCCGGTCTTTGCTTTGGTCTGTTGCAATTGAAGGAGAAGTCCTGCATAAAGGACTCAATTTTCTGTTATCACTCGATAACAGGTCGGTCGTTGCCGATTCAACTCTTTCCACCTTGACTTGATACCTACATCTAAAATCAAACCATGTTGTCAGTAAAACTGTCACCTGTGGTCGTTGCCTAAACGGTCCTGGTCACTCTCAATGGTCCTTTGAATAAATGTGAGGGGGCTGGGCTTGCATCTCAGGAAAGATAGAGCTGTCATGCATGGTTTGGGGAGTGAGGGACAATGTCAGTGGTGGATGGTTGACGCCGTTAGTGCATGGCATGTGAACTGTCTTTCGCATTATGTTGTGCAGGTCTGTTTTGTGCATGATTTGGGCTGGATTGGAATTGACGTCTTGAAGAGTCTGGACACTCAGCACTTGTGAAAGTGGGAAGGGTTCCCCAGCGGTAATACCTCGATATTCATAATTAAGTCTTATATACTATTCTGATGATTCAGTCATACGTTGAGTAGAGTAGGATGTCCTTTGGTAGCGACAAGGTTGTTTTAATACTTTGAACATAGTGGTCGGAAGGAGAATGTGTCTTTTGGAACGGAAGCGGAATTAGACGACCGTCTCAAAGTTCGACCTGAGTATCTAACGGGTCAGTCCTAGGCGTCTTACCGCGCGTACCCACTTTGTGCTACAGCGATCGAGCAAACGCCCTCGGCCGACCTACCTCTACTCAGACATGTAAAAGCCTTCGCACGTGGGTTGGTAGCTCAGCAGGGATACGCCTACCTGAGGGTGCTGACAGCCCCTCGGGTAGAGGTAAGTTGTACCTCGTGACGTCCTGACCTGTCGCAGGGCGTCGTGAGAGGTATAGCACGCGCGCACGGTTGAAGTGGTGACAAGTTGTTTCTTCAAAAATAAATCCTGAGTGACACGACCATGAGGTTCAGCGCTCCCAGCGGGGTGAGGGACCGCCGCGCAGGACAGCGCTATCGGAGGGCGAGGTGTCTCGGCCCTCCGCTACGTATCTGGCGCCTGCTCGAGTACTCTGCTGAGTACCTGGTGCCTGCTCACGTACTCCGCTGCATAACAGGTGTCAGTACACGAAACTTAACATCGTACCAACTCCCTACTCACTCGAACTACGACATGCTAGGTTGTACTTGGGTTGCATTCTGCTGTAAGACTGGTCCAGTCGGCGCCCTCTTGCAAAAAGGGGGTGCGCCACTGGACTTTCCTTTGGTCCACGCAAACTCGACGCCCTAGCGTACAACAGAGCATAACCGGCCTGTGACCGTGGTAGCTATCGGGTTTGCTTAGGGACGCGACAATAGAGGGACCAGCGCGGTGTCGAGCGTATCGGTCCCTTAGGGGGACCCTCCCAACCGCGTTATGCAGGATTCGTGCAGGACTTCCTTACCGTCGTGCAATGGAGCTTTTGTCGCGACGCTGACCACGATCTTCCGCTATGTACCTGGCGCCTGCTCTCGTACTCTGCTGAGTACCCGATGCCTGCTCATATACGCCGCTACATACCAGGTGTCAGTACACAAAACTTAGCAGCGTACCAGCTCCCTACTAACTGGAACTACGACATGCTAGGTTGTACTGGGGTTGCATTCTGTTGTAAGACTGGTCAAGTCGGCGCCCCCTGGCAAAAAAGGGGTGCGCCATTGAACTTTCCTTTGGTCCATGCAGACTCGACGCCCTAATGTACAACAGAGCATGACAGACATGTGACCGTGGTAGCTGTCGGGTTCGTCTAGGGACGCGACAATAGAGGGACCGGCGCGGTGTCGAGCGCATCGGTCCCATAAGAGGACCCTGTCAGCCGCGTCATGCAAGATTCGTGCATAACTTCCTTACTGCGGTGCAATGGAGCTTATGTCGAGGCGCCGACCAAGTGTGTCAGCCATACCTCTTGCGAACCCCTACAACAGGATAGAGTCACGCAAGGTATAACTTACCTCCACCTTCGGGAGTTGTCCCCATCCCTTAGTTTGGCGTATCCCTGCCGAGCTACCGAACCATGTGCGAAAGCTAATCAGTTGCAATCGCAGAGGTGGCGTACGTTGTAGCATAGGGGTTGCTCGTGGTCTCACTCCTCCATTGGACCCGTACGCGAATCAACGCACTGGGGGGTTGAAGTCCCAAGCCCGACTTGTCGTCGGTCGACTATGACGCATCCTTCTTACCACACGTTACACCACGCCAAAGACCAATGAATTTTGTTACTCACACAAACAAAACACTCATACTCCCTTTAGTATCCAACCCATAAACTTTCGACAAAAAATCGGTTGAGCATCTCACACTAGACTTAGAATAAATATCGCTCAAACACAGGCTTAGTCATGTCGACTACCCATGCATGTATACATAAGTAGTCGCAACGATGGAGTACTATGTAGTACCCATAATCGCGTGACTCTCAATGGTATCGAGGGGCGCGTTCGACACTCAAGTGTCGGCCGACACACATCTTGAGAGATTAATCTCTCGACGCTAGACAATCGCCGAGGCAGTTGAGAACCACACCCTCTTCTGCATCCTGTAGAGAGTGGGTGGTAGACAGGTTCGACCTGTTGTGGCAGTCAACGCTTATGGCCTTGGAGACGAGCTCCATTATCTAGGGTCTGCAGAGAAGTCAAAGGGTTTGACTTTGACGGCTGCCATAGACTTCAACGTCCAACTATAATAATCTAAAAAACAAAAGATAAAAGGGGTGATTTTTTTTTTTTTTCCAATGCATAATTCGCTTAACCCCTATGCAAGGCCGCAGTAGACTGCGCGAACACTTTATATATATATATGTATATATATATATATATATATATATACTATTTGTGACGATATATATATATATATATAGGGTTGCCAGTGTTCGAGAGGGGCCGAACGCCCGAACCCGAACGCCCGAACGTACGGGACCCCTTCGGAAGGCGTTCGGCCGTTCGGGCCGAACGCGGACCCA